CCACCGCATGCGGGCAGCACGGCTCCCTGGCTGCAGCTCCCTGGGCTGCACATCGCACCCCGAGCCCTCTGGGCACCGCTGCTGCTGACGCCAGGCAGTGCCGGCACCCCTGGGGCCCCCCCAGGCTGGTGTCCAGCTCACACCTGCTGGGCGGTCACCTGTGGAGCCAGAATGTCCTCATTCATTTCCTTTTCTCCTTCCACACTCGGCTCCCACCATAAAGCTCTCCTGTTCTAATGCTTGTCTGTGCTGCTTCCTGCTGCTCCGCCCCTGGGCGCCCTTGTGACTGGCCTGCAGGTCTGTTGTTCCCAGAAGGGTGGCTGCCCTCTAGGGTAGGAGGCCTTCCAGCCCCACTGGCGAGGCGTGGCCTTTGGAGGACTTCCCATCAGGCCAGAGAACCACATGCTGTCCAGGGGGCCAGCATGGCCAGTGTCTGCATGTCTGTCCCGTCCACCTGGGCCAGGGCTGGGCACTCACATCCAGGAATACACAGGTGCCTGGCTCGGAGGGCAGGCAGTGTCCTTGCTCCACTGGCTCTGCCCACCCCAGCAGTTACCATGGGAACAGCTTTGATGCAGGAGCTGCCCCTCCCTCCAGGGGTAGGCAGGCTGGGCATCCTCCCAGTCCAGTAACCCTTCCTTCCCCCAACTTCTGTTCCTAGATTTTTGAACCTGGAGTTGGGGGTGGGGGGCAGTGGGATAGCAGCCACTGGCAGGGGCCCCCACAGCCTGGGAGGTCATTTTTTTAATGCATTTTTATTGATTTCAGAGAGGGAGAGAGAGAAAATCAATGATGAGAGAGAATCATTGGTGGACCACCTCCTGTACACCCCACACGGGCTCGAACCATGACCTGGTTCACAGGTCAACACCCAACCACTGAGCCATGCAGGCTGGCCACTCTTGAGCCCACAAATGGGGTTGTGGCGAATGTGTCACGACCTTGCCCAGGGCCCCACATTTCATGGTCCCACTCCTGCCCAGCTAGAATATTCCCTGGCTCAGCATCTTGTTAAGGGGAGGCTGCAGTGGGCCTCAGGCAGGCTGCCCAGGGCAGTGACAGCCCCTGCCTGCTGGACGCTGGGGGCGGGAGGGGGGCAGCAGGGGCCTCCTGGCCTGGGAGAGGCCGGCACCCTAAGGTAGGGCATCAGGCCCGGTCCAGCTGGGGGCCATATGGCCCAGGTACCTGCAGAGTCTGGCGCCTCCACATGCCAGCAGGCGCCGAGCAGCCCATCTGCTCCTCCTGGGCCGACCCGGGTGTGAATTCCAGGAGTGGGCTGGGGGTGTCCGGTCCCGGCCAGAGCTCTGCCGCCTTGTCCTGCCGAGCGGGAGCTGGCAGCACCAGCAGGCCCTCTGGTTGGACCCCAGGCCGGCACCTGGCGGTACAGGAGGGCTCGTCCCGCACAGCAC